CCTATTAAACTGTTTTTATCTCAACCCACGAGTTTTCTCACTTTTACTCTTCTGATTCTCTCCCCCATCCCGCTGTGGGGGGAGTGAGCGAGCGGCTGTGTGGTGCTTAGTTGCCAGCTGGGGTTAAACCATGACAACACCTCAGACGCCTACCGGGAAAAGGGAAGCAACTAGATCTCACACCTTTAATGAGAGTTCCCAGTATAATTAGTTTCAGTCTCCTATTAAGTAGGCCAACCGCTTTCATCACCTTTTCCTCAGTCGTCTTCTCCTAGCCCAGCCCAAATAATGAATATGGTTCATGTTTAACCTGCTAATTTTATGCATTAATTGCAGTAGAGCTTCTCAGGAAGAGAATTATTGTTGATGTCACCATCCCCTTTGAGTGTTCATGGCTCTGAAGACAAGATGATGATAGTACTGGCTGTTTACCAGAAGAAAATTAGGTTGGCTTGTAACAAGAACGTACGCTATCCCTACCTGTGACAAACCTCACTAGGATCCTTCGAATAGATTGATTTTTCAGCATGTGGTGAATATTCTGTTGGCCTAAGGACACAGAGGAGCGAGTAATACCTCAAATGTGAAAAGGTATTTCTTGCCAGTATTTTTTCACATCCAGATCCTAAGGAATGGACATCCTCCTACATCAACTGGCTATGCTGTTAGAATTTATAAACTACAACTCATTTAAGGAAACCTCAAATAGTTCAGTTGTTCCATACAACAACTTAGTAGTCTATCTAATCCTCTCCTAACACCAATACGCAAATGCATGGTAACAAGGAAAAGTATTTAAAAAAAACCAAAAACAACTAAAAAAACCTAAAATCCTCCACAAAGCAAAGCAATAGCTTCAGGCATCACCTTTCACAAGATAGGAAAAATTACTACTTAATCTAGCATCACATCTTTCGCCCTCTTGAAAATCACTTAAGTGATTATAGCAGTCAGAGCTTTAGCTGAAGAACAGATGAACAATCCAATTGTGATGAGGTATGAGACTTACGTAAATTTATGTAGTCACAGGTTCACTTCTGTTTCACATGTTGCTTTAGTGTTCTTTACCATGCTTATAAGCGAGGATTTGAATCCAGAGAGTTTTAATCTTTGTTTGTTGAATTAGTCTTTTTTCTCCAAAAGGTGCCAAGTCTCAGCACATGGGCAAACTGTCACCTACTCAGTCTGTGTAGGAAACGTGATTCTTACTTCCTGAAAGAAACTTTAAAAATTTCACGTGATCCGGAAGTGAACCGAGTTTATCAGAAAGGCCTTCACCAAAGAAAGAATAAGGGCAACTCATTTTTTTAAACTAAATATCAATTACACTTCAGAACAGCACTTTCAAAAAAAGGCACGGAAGACCATCTATCTTTTTAATTTCCAAGCACTATAGATGATATTGCTCCAAATGGCATGAGTTACACTACTCTCAGGAAAGAAATCTGTGGCCTGCTGAAGTTGTTTGTGCAGGACAGTCCTCAGAAACATGTATTGCCAAGAAATGCCATCTTGGAACAGCCAGTGTCTGGAGAAGAGAAACACCCATCCCTTATGCTTCCCCTCGGAGGAATCATAGAATCATAGAATGTCCTAAGTTGGAAGGGACCCACAAGGATCATCACCCTTGCAGCACTGTAAGGGTCCCTTGCACCTCTGCTTCAGGACGGGATTAACTCAACAGCCCCACTGAGCACAGAGAAACTCCTCCATGGCACAGACCAGAGCCTGCATTTTATAACACTTTATGTCAAACTCAGTGAAGCACTGGTGTCACATCAAAAATGCAGGGCTTCCTAGCCCTCCCCTTGTCTCCTGATGCTCATATTGTCACTCCTGGGTTACTTCTGTTACAGCCCGTCCTGTGGCTAAGCTCCAGCAGCTCGTCTGCCCTCCTTAATGCGCCCAGTTCACTATTGATTTGTTCCATCTCCACATGTCAAGTGCCATGCCTTGAACCCAAAAGGACTGTCACAAATTACCATAAGCAAACAGAGAAGGAGCCAAGGAAATGATGTTACCTGGACATACAGTAACCATAGAGCCTTAGGCTCCATCCTAAACTCTTTCTGCTTAAGCATGTCATAGAACCATAGAATCATAGAATCATTTAGGTTGGAAAAGACCTTTAAGATCATTGAGTCCAACTGTAAACCTAACACTACCAAGTCCCACTAAACCATGTCCCTAAGTACCACATCTACCCGTCTTTTAAATACTTCCAGGGATGTCCTTCTAGTGCATTGAGCAATACAGCTAACGTCTCTCACATGCTCGCACACTCTCTTGAGGAAAACGGTGAGTTTAGTTTGGAATTTGTTTACTACACATTTGGTTCTAAACGTGCTGGAGACATCAAGGGCAGAAAAATACGCTTTGTGCTGAGAACTAAAAGTTGTGAAACTGATATGAGGACTGGGAAGCTGGTTCCAGGAAATCCATTTCTTCAGGCTTGGGCTAGTTTTGAGAAAGTTCTGTCCCTGGCTAAAGGATTGACTATACCTGCAGGGTGCAGTGCATTTGATAACCCTCCCAACACCAGCAAGTACTAGAAAATAGGACACAGACACATTCCCACTTCACGATGTATCCTAAGGATAGAATAGAGGAGGCAGAGCTGCTGAATTTCTATCTTTCCCTTTCACATCATTCTTAGGATTCATGATTCATACAGGTTGATCCTGGCCTGCCCAAGATCCCATTCCCCATAGAGAGTTCACAGGCAATACTGCACAATGAGGAACACAACAGTCCTGTAAAAGTGAGTGGGGCTGTACATCTGCACAAACCTGCTGACACGTGTATGCATTTTCATGATCAGTGTTATGCTGTATGGTAACTCTTAATTAAAAATTGGCCAAGTAGCATAGTGATTGGGTGATGACTCAGCACACTGAAGCATTTGATAAACAGCTAGCTCCTTTCCAATACATGCCTGCTTAACAAATAATCAACTGGCAAAAGCAGGGAAAAAATCTATGAGAACCACGAAAGTATTTGGGAAGAAGAATAGGGTTCAAAGACAAAAAGAAGAGCATATACAGACCATTTCCATGAATGAACACTACTTTTTTATTTTACACAGTTTTCAAAGGAGAAAGGAACACACGTATTCCCCTTTGTCTTCTCCCTCTACGCCTGTGGATCATCAGGGATGTTTAGAGGCACAGGATCACCAGGGGGTACCTGAGAGAGAGTTGGCTGACACTGCAGGTTAAGACATACTTGGGCATCTCATACTATGTCCAGCTGTAGGCCAGACCACATGGGCATCAAAATTTTGCTCCAGCATTTTCAAAACAGAGTACTTACTATCTCAGCTGGCATGGTTCTCTAAGTAAGGACAGCATAGCAACACGTCCTGGGAAGCTTCTGTATACCTTTTAGACTTTGTGTTTCCTATGTTCTTTTTACATGTATAACTTCCATTGTCTCTTTTCCCTGTTCAGGTGGGTTTACCTATCTTTTGCTCTTCACTCGATTCCTACTAACAATATCAGAAACAATATTATACATCCCATATGCCGGCATGAGGAGAAACTAGGTAAAATCTTGCAAATCATTCCAGGCTGACAATTCTATAAAACAGAAAAATGTAGTATGCTGTTAGCTGGGAATACAGCAGAGAAAGGTCTTCTGTATCTCTCACTAAGCAGAGATATCAAACTTGCCAAGCTGTAATGTTTTTCTTTGAGAAATCACTTTTTTGGTCTTTCCACAGACAGAACACTACTTTATAAAGCAGAATTGTTTCTGTGGTTACTCTCAGGTTCTGTTTACTAACAAAGACTTCACTCCGTTTGCCCACTCAAGACAGCAGATGTTTAGCACTGACATTGCAGAGAATTTGCTGCACCAGGCCAATTTCAATGAGGACAGAGCCCTCAGGCTGACTACAACTAATTCAGCGGTTAGGCAGAGGTCTCCAAAGATACTATGTTTTCATAGAGTTCATGGAAATAGCTTAGAAGAAGCAAGAAATCTTGTTAGCATCCTCTCTGAGACAAAGTTTACATGATATTTTCAAACTTAATTCAATATTTAAGAATCCCTACAGGAGCAGGCTAATTCAGATCAAACTAGTCATTGCATGTTGTGGTGTTCACTGAACAACAGATTTAGGAACGTGTGCGTGATGCTAAATACACACCTTTCAAATTACTTGTATTTTTATTCTAGGATTACCTAAAAAAAGAAGAATTGTTCCCAAGCAATCTGCAAACAGTAGTTCAGAAAACAAGTGACAGCTGTGGAACCAGTGACCACAACAGCTTCTGTACAAACTACAGCAGCAGAGACCGCGTTCTTAGATAGAAAGTGTTGAGAAAAGCTGGACTCTTCCTTCTCTTCGTCCCAAAATAATGTGGTCGCAGCACTCCCCAAGACAAGCAGCAGTACAGATCAAGATCTGTCACAGCCTCAGGGGACAAGAATCCCCCAGGTCCCTGCTAAATATCCCAACCACAGGTTAAACGCCTCTTCACATCTCCTGCTCCATGGTGCAATTCGGTCTTCCAGTTCTTCAGTTTAGCATAAATTAACTCCACTCCTTAAATACTGTCAAATCAGCACTTATACGTGCTCTCCTATATGTGCAGACATCACACAGCACTCTACTGCTCCACGCAAGCAATATTTGCTTTTATTGGCAAAGGTTTCTGCCAGTGAATCAGTCTGCTAGTGGAGACAGACCAGGAGCTGCTGCAGAAGACAGAAGCAAGGCAGTCAAGGCAGAGGTAAGTTGCTTATACATATGTGTTCATGGTCTCTTTCTCTGTTGCCTGTCTCCATAAAGATGTGCAGTTTTGCTTTTGTGCAGTTACTTGTCAGACTAGAGAGCCTGCAACCTTTCTGATCTGCAAGGTTGTTTTTATGCATCAAAGTGCATGTTTGCTAAAGTTGAGGAGAGGAAGAAGTCTTTGACCTGCACAAATGGGAATAAAACAGTAACTGATGGTTTCATTTTCTTCTACTCATGTTGTTTTTTTTCTAAGGATGTCATTGTGGATGCATGAAAATCTTGGTATTGAAAATGTATGCATAAATTGGACATTTTGTTTCCACAGTTTCAAATGCATTTTAGCTTTCCTTGTAAGCTAACCAGGAGATTCTGGTACCTGCTAGCCTCATTAACTGCCCTGGTGCTTTTCTGTCCCATTTACAGTGTATGTGAAAAAATATTATGACTCTCTCAAGAGTACATTGATCAATTTCTAGGAGGTTTAAAGCTTATTTTCATTACGTATCAGAAGTCTCCAGAAATGGCCTTTTGAATGTATCTTTCAAGAGGTCTTTTCCTCTACTTTTTTTTTTTTTTTTAATTAAATATTTCTGTTGATTCCAGTTTGCTATGGTAAATGCCGCTCTTTGGTGTTGTTTCATTAGCTAAAAAGAGTAGGCGGCTGTTCAAGGCTCCTACAATCAAGACTTTGCCACTGAAATTAACGAGAGAGTGCGTGTCAAGCCTTGGAGTTCATTGGCGCACTCTCTCTGATGTACAAAGCATTCATGTGGAAGTGCGTTAAAACATGCCAGCTAAGCCAGGTGACAATATAGCACATAGGAAAAAATATACCCTAAAAAGGGCAACAATTTAGCTACCCCATTGCATCACCTATTAGTACAAAATATATACTCTGTTTTTATGACCTGTCTGTTTCCCCTATGCTGATTACAAAGGTGGCTACAGCCAAAAACCAGGGCACTAACTAGATAGAACGCACTCTACAATTTCTATTCAGAAAAGCTTCCCTAGGACCATCAGTAAACTCCAAAACCCCACAAAAATGCAGTCTTTCCTCCAGGTGGCCAAGACACAGATTTACAATAGGGAGGACAGTATGTGAGAGAGAAAGGAACAAACTCATGGCACAAGCTAGCACCGATATCATACAAGCACATTCCCTCAGGTTTGTTTCACACCTTCCTCGAGCCCCTGACTCGCTCCTGGCCCCCGCTACATGGCGTGAGTTTTGGGCAGTCCATCTTCACGCAGGTACTTATTCTGGCAGCCCCTTGGCTGCCTTCAGACCTTGGGCAACCTTCAGGAGACTCCCCACTTGGATCTTCATGTGGAATTCCATGCCACTCTCTTCCTAATGCAAACACCCCTGCATGTGCTCTGTCACACAGCCCAAAGATGTGGTGCCTCCTCGTGCTGCTCTGCTCCCAG